CTGACAGCAAGAAGGTCACTGGTTTGAGCCTTCTGAGTTTCTGTGTGGAGTTTGCATTTTCTCCCTGCGTTTGCGTGGGCTTCCTCCGGTTTCCCCCACAGTCCAAAGACATACGGTACAGGTGAATTGGGAAGGCTAACTTGTCCATAGTGTATGTGTGTGTGTGTGTGTGTTGGTGTGTGTGTGTGTGTGAATGAGTGTGTGTGGATGGATGTTTCCCAGAGATGATTGCGGCTGGAAGGGCATCCGCTGCGTGAAAATGTGCTGGATAAGTTGGCGGTTTATTTAAATTACATGTAAAAGGATCTAATTTTTTACAGTGTAATGGTGTACACACACTATTAAGAAGCACTCTCGCTCAGCACAGTGGAGATATCTTTAGTTTTATTGTTTTAGTTATTTGGGATGCGGTGACACACAGTCAAATATTTCTCCAAACAAATCAGGCATTTTTAACGCTCATAAATAATCATAAAGTCCTTGCGCGGCAGGTATTATGAGTTTGCTAGAAGTGCAGCTGCTGTGCAGTGAGGGGTTTGCTTCTTAAACAATCTACAACAGTTTGAATACACTGAACAGTAAGAATGATTAATAAACACATAAGAAACAGTTCCTTAAAATTCACATCTCGTCTTCAGTTTCAGGCTCAGGCGTGCTTTGCACTCAGACTACAAACGTACCGTGACAAATCCCAAGTGAACAACGCTCTGGCACACCTCTTCCAAGGTATCTGAACCATGCCTGAGCCTGATTCAGAGCACTCACACTTCTCAAACGATAAGTGAAACGGGCCCGGGCACGGTTTGCCTAGCATACTGTGAGTACGCCCTTATACTCATAACTCTTAAATACTTTTGAAAAGTCCATGTTTAACTTACACTTTGAGTAATATTTACAACAGATACTTACTCTACTTGCACCACATTTATAGGCAAGTAATGGTACTTTAGCTTATGTAAGAATTTCAGTACTCTTTCCACCACTGTTCATTATGAATTAAAAAGGGAAGTTTGACTTTCACCAGATGTTGGTAACAACCAAAAAAACAAACAAACATATATGCAATGAAAACTATATTAATTAGGTTACAAATTAAGTTATATGTGATAAAATTAACTGACACAAGAAAAAAGTACTGAACACATGAAGAAAGAGAGGTGTAGAAAGGCAGTGAAAGCCTAGACTGCAGCTGAAATCAAGCTGTAGAATGGCCTAGCCAATCACTCAAGACCCACAGAATTATCAAGATTTTTACATTCAACTTCTATGGCACAACCATATCTATAGGACAAAAATATATATGTACTGTACTGTATTTGTCCTTGAAAGACTACACATGCCACAGTAGTTTGCTCAATGCTTTTTTTCCCTTCAAAATAAGAAACACAAACACTGCATTTTACAGCTCTCTCCACTTGATTTTATATCCAGCAGTATAAAATAAACTCTCCTTAAAACGAGATCAACACAGCACAATATGATGCCATTTTCGTTTCCTTTCTATTTGTGCTTTATAGAGTGGAAGATCCTTGAAATGGAAAGACTCACGAAACAAGTCTATTAAACAGGTTTTTAATGGCATAGCTTTCTTAGTGATAATGAGATGCTCTTTTACAGTTAAAGGCCTAATCTTTGCACTTTCAGTGTGTTCACACTATTAACCTGCCTCATGCATTCTAACTAACCATAGTTTGCAATGCATCCTTGTATTGTAGAGCAAATAAAACAGAACTTTTTCCCTCCCCTTTTCAAAAAATAAATAATTGTAATATATTACACCTCACATGTGCTTTAAAAAAATGATTAACCTCATACAGCACAACTGAGAGTATGAAAGGTCACGTCGAAAACTTTTCAAAGGTGACCTGCAATATATTTTTTTGCCCTGAATGCACATTTGTCATGTTTCCTACGGCACTTCAGAGACACAGGCCGAGGCTCGGCGCAATCAGAGGGATTTGGAGCCATCATTGAAAAACACTTCATCCTTTTGATTCACTCTCTTCCGCTGCCCACACTTATAAACACTCATCGGCACACTTAGAAATTGCCTTTTATCCGCGGTGTTGAAGTGCATAAATGTAGCAGGTGAGATGGAAGCAGTCAGGCCTTTGCTGAACAGTTTAGGGAACATTAGTGCTCTATCTATAGAAGTGTAGGTGGAAAAAAATAAGATAGGCAGTGTTGCTGTTTCTTACAACAAGAGGTGTTTTGTTGGTTTCTGTGCTAATATGAAACCAACAAGGAGACTCTATAGTAAGTATCAATGTAGCTACACAACATGATCAGAGCTACATCAACAGATCAGTGTTTGCAGTGCAGCTCTCTGCCTAACACTGTTCAGGACACTCAAATGAGCTTTTAAGAAGAGAACAAAGCTTTTTTTGTAGGAGAACAATGACTGCTCTTTGAAGGGTAAAGAACTCTCTGTTTTTAGCACTCACACACACACACACACACACACACACACACACACACACACACACACACACACACACACACACACACACACACACACACACGTCTCCGTTTCATGTGGACGTGACAGTGTTTGTATTACAGTCAGTGATACTGATTTGCAGATGCAAAGAGGATGTGCTTTTTATCACCATCTAAAAAAAAAAAAAAAAAGGGTCAACCCGCTGACTTGGAGATGTTTTTTCAAAAATAAAGACAATTCTTTCATTATTACATACTGCTGTACGCTACCTGACAAAAGCCTTGTTATCGATCCCAGTTGTAAGAGCAACAAATAAGAACTTGACTTCTAGTTGATCCTTTGGAAAAGTGGCAGAGAGTAGATTTTCTGAAAACTCATCTCTTGAACTGAATCTCAATCATCACAAATACTGCAGGAGACCTATTGGAGCCTTGGGTAGGCTAAATTGTCCATAGTGTATGAGTGTGAATAATTGTGTGTGGATGTTTCCCAGAGATGGGTTGGGGCTAGAAGGGCATCCACTGCGTAAAAACGTGCTAGATAAGTTGCCGGTTCATTCCGCTGTGTTGACTCCGGATTACTAAAGGGACTAGGCCTAAAAGAAAATGAATGAACAGCAGTGTACTTAGCACAAACTGTGCAACAATAATATGCATGCAGCATGTACTATATGTGTGGTTTTACCTTTGAGCCCAATAATGATATGTGAGGACAGCATGGTGTCTAATTGGTTAGCACTGTTGCCTCACAGCAAGAAGGTAGCTGGGTCAGCTGGCATTTTCTGTGTGGAGTTTGTATGTTCTCACCGTGTTGGGGTGCGATTCCTCTGGGTACTCCAGTTTCCCCCACAGTCCACAGACATGCGCTATAGGTGAATTAAATAAACTAAATTGGCTGTAGTGTATGAGTGTGATTAAGTGTGTTTGGGCATTCCAGTTAAAAATATGCTGGATAAGTTGACCCCTGATGAATAAAGGGATCAAGCCGAAGGAAAATAAATAAATTTAAAATGAAATGTGAGGTTAGTAGAAAATAATTATTTTTAATGTCACTGAAATAAGGCTAAAACATAGTAAACATGTATAAAGCTTATGCTAATTCGTTGATAATGATAATTGATTATTATTTTTTTTACTGCCACAAAATAGTCAAAACATGGCATGTCTAACATGCCTTTTGAGTGGAATGAACTTTAGTCCTTAATACATCTGGTTCGGTTCCGTTGCCAAACTCCCCCAAAAAAGTGCATGATGAATTTTCTTGACGGAGGATTTTTGGTGCCATCTGAACCATTAACTATGATTCACACAAATCTATCGATGAAAAAAAAAGTAATATATAGACTATAATTCTATCTATTACACTATAATTATATTTACAGTTTCAATGTATTAAACCCCCTTTGATTTTTTTTTCTTTTTAAAATATTTCCCAAATGATGTTTAACAGAGCAAACACATTTTCACAGTATGTCTGATAATATTTTTTTCTTCTGGAAAAAGTCTTATTTGTTTTATTTTAGCTAGAATAAAAGCAGTTTTTAATTTGTTTAAGAACATTTTAAGCTATATATTTTGTTCCGATAGTCTACAGAACAAACCATTGTTATATTGCTTAATTACCCTAGTCTGCCAAGTTAACCTTATTAATTTTATTAAGCCTTTAAATGTCACTTTAAGCAGTATAGAAGTGTCTTGAAAAATATCTAGTCAAATATTATTCACTGTCATCATGGCAAAGTTAAAATAAATCAGTTATTAGAAATGAGTTATTAAAACTATTATGTTTAAAAATGTGTCAAAAAAATCTTCTCTCTGTTAAACAAAATAGGGGAAAAAATAAACGGGGGGGGGGGGGGGGCTAATAATTCAGGGGATTTACTAATTCTGATTGCAATATGTGTACATATACATTGTATATATAATGAATTGGGTAAACTAAATTTGCTGTAGTGAAAAAATATACAGTATGTGTGTGAATGAGAGAATGCATGAATGTTTCTAAATAGAAGGGCATCTGCTGTATAAAACATATGCCTGAGTAATTAGTGGTTCTGTCCACTATGGTGACCCTGATAAATCAGGGACTAAGCTGAAGAATAGTGATTAAATTAAATCCTTGCTGTGTGCAATTAAGTACTGAACATGATTGTTATGAAATTAGTTTTTTCCTTGTGAGTGTAATGGCACTATTAAAGTTTCTTAAGGTTCTAGTTGTCAGTGCAAGTTCACCTTAAATATATATTAGAGTTTTGGGCTGTGAGGTAAAAGTAGAGAGTTGAGCAATGGGTTGACTTTGAGTTCTGTTGTACTGAATGGGTTGCAGCCAAAACAGTAGCCCAACAGTTTATTTTAAAAATGCATTAAAAATGCAAAGCTTCTACCACCATCTGGTTCTTATCCGTAGTGAACGCTACAATACTAATGCAGGCTTATCCATCCATAACACCTTCTTTGTCGTTGTATGCTTCAGGTAGCAATGTGTAAATGTTCCTTGAATATATTTATTGATGACTAACAAAGCATTCCTAGTTTTTTAAAACACACAATGTCAAACATTATTTCTGTACAGACATGGTAGTGCTTTATTAAGATTGGTAACAGTGGACGGAGTCATCTATTCCTCCACCAGTGGCGGAGGAGTGAGCTTTAACTGAAAGTTCTCGCTGTGGTAAATGCTTCCTGTTCCTGGATGGGCAGGGTTTGACAAACCGGCCCTCTCAGTGCCATGCGAATGGGTGAGTTCTGTCAGAACAGCAAGCTGAAAAACAAAGAAACAGAAATGAAAATACTGGCAGGGCAACAGCAGTAGAACATTTCATGGTAATGTTAACAATTTAGAAGCAGTTTATAAATAAAACAACATTTTTTATATAGTTAATTACAACAAAAAAGCACATTCCGTATATAATACTGACAGCAAAGTGTATCACAAATGTTAGGGAAAAATGTGTTTATGTATTGGCAAGCAAATTAAACAGTACAAAAAAATAATCATTTTTCAACACCACATGATTTAGTTCACAAAGTAGGCAAAAATCCTCAAATCTTCACATTGAACTGAACGGATCATCAACTGGAACAAAACTAACATTCTGCTAAACTGAATGTGCTTGATATACTGAATTTGATTCATAAATATGAAACACAGGCCTAATTTTTATTATTGCATGTTCATCCTTGCAAAACTGCTTCGAATATGACTGCATGATACATTAAAATGAAATCAAAATGTTTATTTAGAAAAAGCTGTGATTTTCATGCACATCTTGTCAGCGAAGCATGGCCCTGTGATCAGTAGTAAATTTCATCTATAGGCCAAAGGGCGTGCTTTCTCACTGAAAATGCAAATATGCCGCAAAAGAAATCAAACACAGGATTTAACTGCTTTTATTTATTCAACATGACTAACAATAACATGACTTTAGAATTATCCCAGAATGACTTATACTCAGGCGACACAGTGGTGCAGTAGGTAGTGCTGTCGCCTCACAGCAAGAAGGTGGCTGGGTCGCAAGTTCGAGCCTCGGCTGGGTCAATAGGGGTTTATGTGTGGAGTTAGCATGCTCTCCCTGCGTTTGAATGGATTTCCTCCGGGTGCTCCGGTTTCCCCCACAGTCCAAAGACATGCGGTACAGGTGAATTAGGTAGGCTAAATTGTCCATAGTGTATGAGTGTGAATGAGTGTTTGTGGATGTTTCCCAGAGGTGGGTTGCGGCTGGAAGGGCATCCACTGCGTAAAAACCTGCTGGATAGGTTGGCGGTTTATTACAATATGGCAATCCTGCATTAATTAGGGGCCAGGCCGAGAAGAAAATGAATGATTGACTTATACTCAACTATTATGAAAGTAAAGACCTGATATTAAATAGGATTTTTTATTTATTTAAAAAGGAGAGGTAGATCACTGAAAAGTAATGCAAAAAGCTTTTAAAATTATTATTTTTAGAATTATTTCAGAATAGTGCTGATTAAATAGTCTGTGCTTTTTTTGGTATTTTGTCAGTAAACTATGGCTTTGTGTAGTAAAGCTGCTCCAGAAAGCAGGTGCTGGACATTTACGGCTGATTACAGAACCAGCTTTACTAACAAAATGCGCATGAAATCACCTTTGATTAATCATGCAGTTCTGCTTTGACACAATTTGCATTGCATAAAGCATTATAAAAATAAATATTACTTGACTAGACTTATCTTCAGTCATCCACACAAAAGAAGATCTGAAACTCTGCTAACAACTGAAGTTAACCAAAACTATCTGGCTACTAGCATTTTTTAAAATAACTTATTTTGTGTTGCACAAAAGTGAAACCACATACAGGTTAGCGATGTGAATATATTTTGATTTATTACTGGATGAATTATGCCATAAACATGCATTTTACGCATCATATATCGCCAAATCATTAATTGCCATATGAATGAAACAAAATCAATGCCAAAAACATTAAAATAAAAAGCTTGTTGAATAATACAAACTGAAAATTTAGCAAATGTTTACTCGTGGCAGAACCCCAAAAATTAGAAAAAAGAAGAGAAAGGCAGGATAAATATTAATTTAGAATCACGGATGATTTATTTAGGCACAATAGCCTAAATAAATGTCATAAAATAATAATATTAATAATCATAAGAATAATAATTTATATAATGAAAATATATAGCCTATCTCGATCCTGACATAGCCGCGTTAACAGCGCTAACACTTTATAGTCTAATAACCCCTTATGGTTATGCCAAATATTAGACGGTTCTGTATGAATAACTGAAGAGGCTCCTTTAATGCATTCGCTCGTTATGTTAAATTATTTTTAATTACAAATCCCATCCATGTCCAACCCTAAACCATACCTGAACACTCTTTCTAACAGTTCCAAGTAAACTGTTTTGTGTTTCATTCTCATAAAATCTCTCTGGTTTTGCATATCTTTGTTCTTAATTGTTTGTAGCCCTGATAATTATGTTTATCTATTTTGTATTATTATAATATTTCCTCTGCTGTTTCTCTTACATTTATATTCTTTAGCTGTCAATATAATACTTTACGTCTATGGAAGAATGAGTTAATAAAGATAGAGAATGTGTAACATCATATTTGTCAAAAGACGGTTTATGTGAATGTAATCCCACCGGTCTGAGCAGGGATACCGGCATTGGAGACAAATGCTCTGAGGAGGCAAAAGATTGCAGAACATTGTCTGTCGCTGGATCCGAGGAGTGAGGTTTACGCGATCACCAACTGGCTTCCGTTACATAAGGGGAAATATAGATGACCAAAACATCATTTACTTATTTTACTCATACTCCTTTTATTACAAAGTAATAAAATAAGTTGGCGGTTCATTTCGCTGAGGCGACCCTAGATGAATAAAGGGACTAAGTCGAACAAAAATGAATGAATTAATGATTGAATCCACTATGGAATTTGCAACTGATTTGTGAAATCCTGAATGTGAAATACACTTGAAATGTAATTTGTTAGATATAGAGTTCCCCTTCGGGGGGAACTTCAGCACTATAAGTGGATTTGATTGTAAAATCCACGCATTGGGAGGTTCGGTTCAGAAGCTACTCGTCTGAAAGAGTATTGAACGGGCCAATTAAGAATGAATTGGCAGCGCAAGCCTGCGCAGGTGAGCGGCATAAGCAATCAACTGAGTATATAAGCTCACCTGGCGCAGCAGACGCTATCCTTTTCGCTTCAGAGCCTTTCTGATCGAGTCGATGAGGGTTCCTCCTGCTGTGACCAGCGATTCTGAGCGAACGAGAGCATTCTCCCGGTCCAGAGTGTGTACACGCAGTGGCAGACGGTCGAGCTGGGTTTCTCCCTTGCCTGGCGTTCTTTGGGTCCGGTCCTCCAGAGCGGTGCGTATAAAGTTGCAAACTTCACAGAAAGAGCAACACAGTCGTGCAGCACGTCCTTATCAGGACGGCGCTCCGACTGTGCGTTTCTGGATGCGGTGGTTTCCTGTCCTCGGATGATGGGCGCGGGCACTGTGTTACATGTCTGGGGGTCCAGCATGTTAATGCGCTGCTCGCGGGCAGTTCATGTCGTCATTGCGATGCCATGACTGTTGCGCAAGATCGCGGTTAGCCTTTGCAAAAGGGCGAACCACCCCAGTTGTCCCCTGCTCTGCAGCGGGCACTCGGGCAGATCTGAGGGTTTCAGCGAGAGATAATCCGTCGCCCACGGGCCTGCGGACCTCCCGCTCCTCTAAGCGCTCCATCCAAGCTTCGGGCGGGGGAAGCGATCCGTCTAACAGATGGTAGCCCTTACGCCCGATGACACCGGAGACCAGATGTCCACCGCGGCATCGGAGGGTGGGCTTTCATTGTCCAATGATGATCCAGACCCGCTCGCCCCCTTCGGGCTGGTGAGCGCTGTCACTACGGATCCTGAAACGGACATGTTAGCCGTGCTTTCCCGGGCTGCTTCAGCCGTGGGTTGGAGATGGTTTATCCCCCAGCTCCGCGGCCGGACCGACTAGAGGGGCGTTCCCTTCTTCCCGGAGGTGCACAGTAGGCTCACGCGGTCTTGTAAAGCACTTTTTTCTGCTCGTGCTGCGTGTTCCTCCACCCTAACCACTCTTGACGGTGGAACAGCCAGGGGGTATGTGGCGATTCCTCAGGTTGAGTGCGCGATGGCGGTAAATCCGCGCGGCGCCTCTTCTTGGCGGGTTCGCCTCGTCTCCCATCCAAAGCCTGTAAGTTATCTACCTCCCTCGGAGCTAGAGCTTACATAGCTGCGGGCCAGGCTGCTTCTGCCTTGCATGCGATAGCCACCTACCAGCGCTACCAAGCGCAGGCGCTGGCCGAGCTGCACGAGGGTGGGTCCAACCCAGGCTTACGAGCTTCGCACCGCCGCCGACTTAGCTCTTCGGACTACTGAGTCCGCTGCGTGTGCGTTGGGGAGGACGATGTCCACATTAGTGGTCCAGGAGCGCCACCCCTGGCTGATATGCGCAAAGTCGACAAAGTCCGCTTTCTTGACTTCCCCATATCCCCAGCCAGGTTCGGCGACACTGTCTGTGAATTCACCCAGGAATTCAAGGCGGTGAGAGAGCAGTTGGTGGGTGATGTCTTATCGGCGGTCCGTAGCCCGCTCCGCCCGCCGTGCCATTCATACCTGCTCCTCGCCGAAGGCGCCCGCCTACGAGAGCTGCTCCGCCCCCGCACACGCCTCCGGCGAAGCGAGCGCGTCGGGCACCTCGGAAGCAGGCAGCCCCCCTGCCCAGAACGCCGCTAAGTCCGGCAACGGACCGCGAAGCGCCCCTGGGACAGGCCATCTGGAGAAGAGGGAACTTGCTCTTTCCCCGCTGGAGGGCGGGGCCCCATTTCCAACGGCACTTTTTACTGCCATGAAAACATTATGAAAGGGCACTTTTCACTTCCCCAGATGTGACAGCCCGAAATCTGCCAGTCTGGGACGCTATGCTTTCTAGCTTGCAGATTCGGTGCGTTTTGCCAGTGGCTCACGAGCGCTGGGAGGACGGTCTCCTTTCTCCCACCCCTCGAGCCTCCCCTCCGGAGCTCGGGTTTGGAGTGAGAGCAAATATCTCACCTCCAGCTTTTCCGTGGGACCCGCGAGCTTCCCGGATCAGCACACCCACTCCGCGCTGCCCCACTGCTGGTACGTCATTGATTGTAGCGATGAGTCCATTAGCGAGAGCTCTGCCTGCCTGGTTAGCGCGGGCCAGCTCTTCGCGGTGGCTCATACGCACAATCAGACTCGGCTATGCGATTCAGTTCGCGAAACGGCCC